GAGTTCTGGTCTTAACGGACTTAGAATATAATGTTCTCATTGAAGACACTTTCAATGTTATCTAATTCACAGATGAATTAAAGTCTTTAGAAGTGATAAGCAATGAAAAAAGGTATCCCAACATTCCCACCACTCAACCATAGCTAATTTGAAGTTAAAAAATAGGGAAAAACAGGGTGTGAGGGCTATCTGTCTGTGACACCTGTCACCCCATTGCTCGCCAGGGTTGATTCAACTGATCTGACTGACTAGGTGGGTATGTCCGTCCTTCCTCACCACTTCAGGTGCTTCCCTCCCGAAACTGCATGTCCAACTGAAGAGCATGACCCTCCCTGATAAAGAAGGATCATTCTTGGGTCAAGGGTGAAAGAGTAGCTGTGCTCTCCTTCCAGACCCTCCCCACAGGCTCCCAAGGTCCATTTGTAGGAGAATGTAGGATAGTCAAGCTTACAAGACTCCAGACACACCAAATGAGGCGCTGCATGTGGCAGCCTGCCTTTCTTAGAAAAAAATAAGTAAAAAGCTTCAATGAATCTTACAAACCTTTAGCCACAACTCAAGTTGAAGGAATATTTAAAACAGATACATTTTAAATATATTTAAAATTGATAACTGACAAGGACTTACTGTATGCACAGGGAGTTCTGTTCGATATTCTGTAGTAACCTAAACGGGAAAATAGTTTGAAAAAAAGTAGAATTAATTTAAAAACTTAGTATGTTTATCTATAGAGCTTTGTAGCTATAATAATACTTTATAATAAAAAATACAGCAGTGATAGCAGGAAAAAAACAAAAGTTCCCAATTCCTGACTTTGGTAACACTTTGGGGTTAGGATTTGGTTGGGCTTTTTCTGTTTTTTTTTTACAGTATCAAATTTTTGAAAATCTGTTTTGAGGTTCCTGCTTTCCTTGGACCTATGCTTTTGCCTAACCTGTCTGATGGATGAGCCCACCATGGTCCCTTCAGTGTATGGAAATAGACCAGGACTGAGAGATCCAGTTTCAAATTCCAGCTCTTTGCTTTGCCCTCTCTTGTGTAACAGTGGAAGTTTATTTAACCTCTTATACCACTGGATCCTCTTATCAAGAAATTAGTATAAAATCTTGTTTAGCCACTACCTAAAATAGTGGATACAAAACTCAGTGAAAAGCAATATATAAATCTAAGAAAACAAGTCTGGATTTATAGAAAATAATATTTCTAAGAAAGAGATGACTCATAATTATTTACATGATGAATAGTGTGAGGTCATTAGTTTGTAAGATTCAATATGACTCTGTGCTAGTCCTTCCTTTGGATGTTTATTTCTGTTACTGGCAATATACATGATTTGTCACGTGTCCGTCTTGTTGCTGCTTTTATTGTTGTTTTAGTGTTTCATACAGAAGGAGCAAGACTAATATCCATTCAAGTGATGTTTTGCTTCTTATTACTAACAAGATGCAGCATTTCTGTGTTGATAAACCAATTCTAAGGAAATACACTCTATCTTTCCCAGTTATAAAAATGTTTCTAAGAATGAATTTTCAAATGAGTATCATCCTCACTAGTGTTCTAGAAATGCTCTGTACCATATATTCAAAGTCTGATTTCTGTCCTAGAAAAAGAGAAGTGATTAGATTTGGAAAATGGGTCAAGGAAATAGACATTTATGAATGACATAGTCTTTTATATCATTAATTATAGTGAGTAGAATGGTATTTCAAGTATATGAATCAAAATATTTTAAAATTTCTGTCCCTTCTAGATTTGATTTGCACCTGTTTTTACATATTTAGGATTTTGATGGATATAGCCTAGAAGAACACATCCCTGAGTTTTATCTCCGTTTATGAACATCTGTTTAAAGTTGATTTAACATTTAAACATTCACAGAAGCAGACCCTTTCATCAGGGCAAGGGCCATAGGAGCATTTAGCTCAGGCCTCAAGTTCAGGAATCTTCATGTAGACTGTCTGTGTAATCTCTGAATGGGGTTATGAAAGGATATTGACATGGCCAGGCGCAGTATTTCATTATGGGCTTTAATTGTAATTATTAAAATAAAAATGTAATTATTCAAATGTACCATAATTTTAGAACTTTTAAAGGATGTCTCCTCACTGTATGAGAACCGTGTCAGTGGAGGCTGCCTAGGACCCTTAATTTCAAACAGGCTGCAGAGGAAAGATTCTAAAAAAAGGGAAAGGAAGAATTTTCCCTCTTCACCATCATGGCAGGAGAAATATTCCTTCAGAAATGAGTGTGAGACTTGAGGAGCCTATTCTGAGGGTCTCTTCTCCCTGTGCCTCAGAAGACTCCGAGGTCCCTGGGCTCTGGTGAGCGTGAGGTGGGGTAGGCAAGGTCTGAGGAGAGTAGGCTGTCTCAACAGGTCCCCCGGCTCTGGTGAGCGTGAGGTGGGGTAGGCAGGGTCTGAGGAGAGTAGGCTGTCTCAGCAGGTCCCCCGGCTCTGGTGAGCGTGAGGTGGGGTAGGCAAGGTCTGAGGACAGTAGGCTGTCTCAACAGGTCCCCCGGCTCTGGTGAGCGTGAGGTGGGGTAGGCAAGGTCTGAGGACAGTAGGCTGTCTCAACAGGTCCCCCCGCTCTGGTGAGTGTGAGGTGGGGTAGGCAAGGTCTGAGGAGAGTAGGCTGTCTCATCAGGTCCCCCTATAAAATGGGTTCTGAACACAAAAAAAAGCACCTACAAAGAGGGGATTTTGTCCACCTACATAACATACAGCGATATGCCCAGAATACCACAGAGATCAGTGTGATACAATACTTACTAAAATACCTTTGCTCAAATAACAGAAGGAATTTTTATTATTTCATTCACAAATGTACAGATATTTGTTAACTTATATAACTTAGTGTGGTCATTACAGATACTTGTTTTTCAGAGTAAAAGTACAAAAGAAATATTAAATATGATTAATGATTTTAAAAATTGGAACTAGGTAGTGCTAGGACAAATAATACAATTGAATCAGGTCAATGATAAAGCTCTCTAGATGGGATTTCTACACAAGTGCTTTATTAACACTGAGAAAAGGGAAAATTGCAGAGCATCAGGACCGTGGAAGCAAACACGGCATCTCTTTTACTCCACCCGTTGGCTATTTTTTTCAACTGAAGATTCCTCTTTTATGTAAGAAGAGGAAAGCGTTAATAGAAATCTTCTTTGAAAATAAATTAATGGAGCATTCTTCTCAAATCCTACTTGTTAATGAATTTACTGGTTAGATGTATTAGTTCCAGTGGATTATAACTCCATATGTGTTAAAATATGAAGTGTCTGGACAAAGCATGCAGCAGAGACTTAACTTGCAAATTGTTATAAAATAGATTTTTAGAATCAGAAAAAATTATCTCTAATCAGATAACTAAGTCAGGCTAAAATGTTAGTTCGCTTTGTAAAAATAGATGAATAAAAGTCAAATTTGTGTGTGTGTGTGAAGAGAGAGAATGTGTGAATGAAAATGAACATTTACATTGTATATATGTGTTTCTTTACTTTACAACTAACATAATATATTCTGATGAAATACTTTGAAATTTCTCTACTTCTTTTTCCTCACAATTCCTATATTACAAGGAAGTTTTTTTTAATCTGAATATCTTAATTTACAAATGGTAGTTATATTAAAAATCAGAGTGTCATTGTCTAATCCTAGTAGAGTTCAATGTGAATTACCTGTGTATGGATCATCCATGACTTATTTTAAGTTGTAGACTAATTTCTTCTCTTTGATATTCTTATGTCTTCTTTTCCCTGAGCGTCAAAGTGATAGGCTAAGTGATGCAAACTGATTTTCCTATGAAATCCAGGGTAAAATACCCTTTATAATTTTGGATTTTATTATGTGAGGTTTCCTTGATGCCGAGCTCCTTCTGCAGCCTGGATAAGCAAAAGTTTCCCCCATTAACATGGAAGGACCTGTGCAACTGACCTGTGTCAGTTGAACACAAGGTGCATATTTTCCTTCCTTTCTACAAACTTAAAATATATCAGTGTTCATAACAGCTCTACATGCACCTGAGATACTGTTATGGCACTTATATCTAATTTACAACTCATTTATTCCTCCTGCTTATCTCATATTTCATGGACCAGTGTCAGTGTTAGTATGGTGGAAAACTAATGCCCTAATCAGACTCCCTAGCAGCCCTGTCAGAGTTAAGAGTCAGGTTTTATTTAGTGATGGTTAGCCGTCTATCAGTTTCACTTCCAGAATCTTTGCTTTGATGAGAGAAATATCTTGGTTTTTGAAAAGTCAGTATTTAAAGAATCACTGATAAGAATATTGATTTTTAATTTGATTCTAGATCACGGTTCTGTAAAGAGAAGCTCTGGGTAGGGTGCTGGAAAAGCGGCTCTGACCCTCAGTGTGACATAGATTATGAAAAACTGATGTAAAATAACAAATAAAAAATTGGTGGCCAGAATGCATTCCAGGTGTGTCATTTTCTGTGGAAAGGATGATTCACTGCAGCAAATAGATAACATGAGTTCTGTTCAGATTAATTTTTTTTTTATTTTTACTGAAAATGCTTTAAAAAGCAATCAGGAAGACCTGCTTATTACTGCAAAATCTAAAGTTTATTGTTTCTCCTTGGGGCTAAATTTTTAAAAGCATATGTAAAATTGGATACCATGTTAATGGTGCAAGCAATGAGTTTAATTGCCAAAACCATGGGGCCAATTTTAATAAGGAAAATTCACCTGACTATCTGTACCCTGTGATTACTTTTCCTAAAAGAAATGCAGAAATAGAAACAGATCTCCATCCAGATGTGGCTCCTTTTCCTCCACATCGCGTTCTTAGTGATTATTAAGAGACATGCAATCAAGTTGGATAGATATTTCTTGAAATGATGCATGGTATGCAGTGCATGCTTTCATTGTGCTTCCTGCCATTATGGAATAATGCGTCTTATTTGGAAATACAGTGATCACTTCTGTTGAATCATGCCCAGTCCGTTTGTATAGTAACACCCCTGTTTTGTGAATCATTTCAGATTTCAGAGAGCTATGCCTTCCTACCAAGAGAAGCGGTGACACGATTTCTAATGAGCTGCTCAGAGTGCCAGAAAAGAATGCATTTAAACCCAGATGGAACAGATCATAAAGGTAGCTGCAGTGTCAAATAGTGAGATTTCAAGTAATTTTATTCATAATGACAATTTATAGCCCACATTTTTTGAAGAATGTGGTAGATTGAAACAGTTCAACAAGTCAAATCATCTCATTTATTCAGATAGGAACCAGTAAATCCACTTACAAGCAATGCAATGCCCTTCTTCAAATGAAAGACAGTCTTGACTGTAGCAAATACTTTTTGTTCTATAATAATGTTTTAATTTACATTCATTGTGTGTATTTCATGGTGTTTTAACTATCTTCAGCAAGGAAATTGATGTTCCATCTGTGTTCTTTTAAATTTATCATTTTCTTATTTCTAAAAGTAATGAATAATAATTTTCTTTCACTGAAAATTTTTATAGAGAAGTTACTATTTGGCTTTGGCTTTCATTAAAAGTTATTTGGATTATTTTAGAGGTTAATCTCAAAGCTGTATTGAAGCTAGTCAATTCCCATGTGTTGGAGGATGAATAGAATGGCAAAATATAAAAATAAAAAGCTTCCTTTTGGCCCTTATGTGGTCCACTTAGAAAGTAAGTGTGGGGACTTCCCTGATGGTCCAGTGGTTAAAACTATGAGCTCCCACTGCAGGTGTGAGAAGTGAAAGTGAAAGTGTTAGTATAGCCCACCAGGCTCCTCTGTCCATGGAATTCTCTAGCCAAGAATACTGAAGTGGGTAGCCATTCCCTTCTCCAGGGGATCTTCCTGACCCAGGGATCAAACCTGAGTCTCCTGCATTGCAGGCAGGTTCTTTAGTGACTGAGACACCAGGGAAGCCCTGCCTTGGCTTCAATCCCTGGTTGGAGCATTAAGATCCCACACACTGTGTGGCATGACCAAAAATATGTGTATAGCAAAGGAGAAAAATACAAAAATACTGATGATTTTGTTTAGCCACTATATTAGCTTCACTCATTGTTATCTAAGATATCAAAAAACTCACCTTGTAGTTAGAAATAACCAGTTTATCCATAGTGCTATTTTGTCCCCAAACACCTTTATTGAAGCTTGTCAATCATATATATATACATATATATATATATTTTATATATATTTTATGCTCCATCTCTAATGCTACCCATCTCCTAAACACTTGGTATCTTGCATCTTATTTCAATTTGAACAAACTAGATCATTCTGAAATTACAGGTAGAGTACTGTATCACTTTCATTACCCATTAAAAATGTTTTATTACAGATAATGGAAAACCTCCCACTTTGGTGACCAGCATGATTGACTACAACATGCCAATTACCATGGCCTATATGAAGCACATGAAACTGCAGCTGCTAAACTCACAGCAAGATGAGGTAAAATGAAAATATCTACCCTTATATCACAAGTCAGAATGAAGCTTGATAACCATGACTCTCATATTAAGCATGATGCCATTTTGAAGACAGTAATTTATTTTTTTAATGAAAGGAGTGCCAATAGAACTGCACAGATGGAGAAACAGGCAGAAATTTTTAGTCGTCAACAGATTCCCTGTCTGACCACATCCACCTTAGTGTTGTGTGAAATTTTGTTTTTTCTCCCCAAAGATTCATTTTCCTTCATAGCCTACCATTGAACTAACCTTGGTAAAGTGCTAGGAAGTTCAGGGGAAAGTATTCCAAATAAGTGTGTATCCTGGGAAATTATAATATTAAGGCTATTTTACCTGGAAATCAGAAAGTTAAGTTCCATAGGTGTTTCAAGTATGACCATTTCAAATCATCCAAATCTTTTGTATATTTTTAAGTTGTTTTTCAATTAGCCATTATTCTATGTATTTGTCTACTTCTCTGAATTGTCTTAACTAAAAATGTTTTGATGTTTCAGATTATTTTATTTAATTTGTATAGTAAAATTCTAGCCATGAGCTTGTTGGCATATATTAGACACAGAATGAGTATTTTTAAAATATTCTTCTCCAAGATACTGATTAACTAACCAGTTTGGTTGAAGTATCTCAAAAGCAGGGACTAAGTTGTATACAAACCCTGTGTATATTTCCCACTACTTCTAACAGTGTGGCTTAGTAAATCCTTCTTAATTAGTTAGTAGCCATTAGTTAATATACACACTCAAAGTATCTATATTAGAAACAGTTTCTCAGGCTAATATATTCTCTCCTTTTTGAAATTTCTCTGGAAGAGGAAATGTGGTTAAATACTTATTTTTAAGTATAACATTACTTGGTGAGGTATTAAATTCTTTTACAATTATTTGGTTAACTTTGTTCATAAAGCTCAAATCAATTTTTTATTTTCCTCTTTATGTCGGCAGGTTTAATCTCAAAACCATATTTATAAAATTATTTTATCTCAAAAGACTTTATGAAAGTTATATTCTTTAAGAGCATCTGTATTAGTGCCGTGGTGATATCAGATTCCATATTATCAGATAGATATATGTAAGTGATTAACTCATAATAAAGCCATTCAAAGATAGGAAAAGCAGTTAAGAAAATATTACTATTTATCCATCTGCAAGAATGAAAATATTATTGCCATGATTCATCACACAATTGAAATCATTTTTTAAAAACCCATAAACTAGTTAGAGCTGTCAAATTATTTGTAGGAAACTCATTTATATATTGATATGTTTATTAATAAGCCAAAGAGTAAGATTAACTTTGAGACAGCAGAGCCCACATATGCTAAGTCCTTCTGGCTTCTAAAAAATCCTGAGTAGTTCACAGAAAAAAAAAAAATGGATTCTTTTAAAAGATAATTGGACTAGGAAAACAACTCTTATCCTTACATTTAAAAAATTCTACCTTGGGTGTATATTGTCTTAAAACTATTTAGATAAACAATGAATTATATTACTTACAAAATTTTGGAAATTGTGATCATTGAAAGATAGAAAAGTGGTTAAATAAGTCATGGTAAAGATGGAAATCAAGTGAGATATCCCTTTTGTAGTAAGTTATATTTAAATTTAATAAATGCTTAATCAATTACCTTAACCAATATTTATTGAGTACCTTNCAGTTTCATCCATCTCATTAGAACTGATTCAAATGAATTCTTTTTAATGGCTGAGTAATATTCCATGGTGTATATGTACCACAACTTCCTTATCCATTCGTCTGGTGTTGGGCATCTAGGTTAAACCACAACAGACTTTTGGGGAGAGAGTTTGGCAATAATTAATTTAAAACTTTAAAAAGTTGTTTATATGCTTTGACTAGAAATTTATACTAAGGAATTTGATATATAAAACAATTTACATATTAGGATGTTTATTGCATTGCTAATGGTAATGATTGGAAATATCTAACAATGAGAAATAGTTGAATCTGCAACTATTTCATGGTAGCCTCTACCCATACAGGGATATTGAAATTTAACCAAAATTAAATTAGCTAAAATTAAATTTTCAGTTCTTTAATCACACTAGCTACATTGATCAGCCATAATTTGCAGTTCGTATAAACCATTCTATAGAACAGACACTGCAGCGTCACTCTTTGTATCTAGTTTCTTTTTAAACATACACATAGCCTCACACACATACTTTTTTCATGTAGATACATTTATATATCTTCTCTAATACATTTATATAGCTTCTCTGATAGCTCAGTTGGTAAAGAGTCCACCTGCAATGCAGGAGACCCCAGTTCCATTCCTGGGTGGGGAAGATCCCCTGGAGAAGAAATAGGCTACCCATTCCAGTATTCTTTGGTTTCCCTTGTGGCTCAGTTGGTAAAGAATCTGCCTGTAATGTGGGAGACCTGGGTTCTATCCCTGGGTTGGGAAGATCCCCTAGAGAAGGGAAACGCTACCCACTCCAGTATTCTGGCCTGGAGAATTCCATGGACTATATGGTCCATGGGGCCACAAAGAGTCAGACACAACTGAGTGCTTTCACTTTCACATTTACATCGGGGCTTCTCAAGTGGTGCTAGTTGTAAAGAATCCTCCTGCCAATGCAGGAGACCCAGGAGACATGGTTTTCATCCCTGGGTGGGGAAGATCCCCTGGAGGAAGAAGTGAGAACCCACTCTAGGATTCTTGCCTTGATAATCCGACGGGCAGAAGATCCTGGCAGCCTACAGCCCATGGGGTGTCAAAGAATCAGACATGCCTGAGTGATTGAGCACACACATACACACACACACATATTAAATACAAATCTCTCTCTCACACACATATACACTTACCATGCAAATAATATTTTACTAGACTACATCTAGCTAGCTCTTTGTAGTGCATATAATAAACACTTTTATAAAGACTCTTCATAAAGTATCTACAACTACTTTATAAGCACAGATTGATTGTCTTTACCATTACATTTAAGTTCATTTTTGTGTGTGTTCATGTATAATAAATATAAATCTTATATACTGTTGAATTTGTTACATATTCTATATAACAGTATCAAACAGCTTTGTGCTTATTATGTATCTGATGTTATTTTAATTACTTGAAGTATAATATAGCCTTTCAATCATTACACAGTCCTATGAAGTTGATACTATTTATTATTCCCATTTTATAGGTGAGGAAACTGAGGCACAGAAATGTTAGGTAACTTGCTTAAGGTAATACATCTAATAGGTGGCAGAGCATAGATCTGAATCTAGGCAGTGTGGCTCCAGAGAATGTGCTCTAAAATAATATATTACAGACAATATATATAGAATATTTAATGGATATTCATATCATCAAGCTGTGTGTGTACATATGTGCATATATGGTGCACATTGATAACATATATGTGTGCACTGAATTCTATTATTTTTTCTTCTCTGAACATAAATATTTATTTCAGATGCTTTGGATTTTTCATAGAATTTAGAATTGGAGAAAGCGTAATGTCCCAAGAGAGGGCATGTGGCTGGGAGAAGTCTATGTGGCTGATGGCCCAGAGACCTCCCAGCATGGAATTTCCTTGCTAAATTAATGGCTCAGACAGTAAAGCATCTGCCTACAATGCAGGAGACCCGGATTCAATCCCTGGGTTGGGAAGATCCTCTGGAGATGGAAGTGACAACCCACTCAGTACTCTTGCCTGGAAAATCCCATGGGTGGAGGAACGTGGTAGGCTACAGGCCATGTGGTCTCAAAGAGTCGGACACGACTGAGCGACTTCACTTTCACTTTCAGGGCTCCTTGGTAGACCCAGACAGTATCAGAACCTTTGATAGAGGAAGAACACCCAGCTACCTGGGTCTGACATTAAGGTCAGAATGCCCGTTGTTAGTGTGCTAGAATGTTCCTGTTTCCTGACCATAGCAATTTCTTCACTGATGCTAGGATGTCATTTATGAAGCCGTGGGAACACTTTCTATTCAAAGAAGCTCTTTTTTCAAGCCTGGGTGACGTCATAATGAATCCCAGTTCTGGTGTATAGTAGTGTGATCAGTTATCTAACTGCTCTGTGCCTCAATTTCACAAAGTGTTAACTGGGTAAATTTCACAACGCATTAACTGGGTAAATGCTAACTCACAGGTTGGATGAAGCTGATATAATTGAACGACTAAATAACAGAGTCTGTGATATAATTAGCATAATCATTGCATCTGTGTTAAACTTTGAGATCAAATATTTATGAGTTGAAGTTAAACCTGGTAGTTTCAGTGAAACATTTTTGGTATTTGACACAAGTTTCTCAGGCCTTTCTGCGCACAGCATTTGTCTGAAAATCAGTTCTCCCAGATGGATTTGCGTCCAGAAATGATTATAGCAACATAGCGTACATTTGTTTTAACTTAATATTTGATAAATTTTTTGATGAATTGACAATTTGGCAGCTTTGTCTTTTGGGAATTTAGCCATTTGCTGATCTGGCTTTCGGTTGAAGTTTGGCTTCTGAATCTTTTGTACTTTTACTTAGAACTTTTTGTTGTAATGCCATTTGTATTCCCTTTCAAGGAAGAAAGGCTGTATTAAGATTAACTTGTTTTCTGACTAATGAGGACTTTGAATCTAAACATGTAAATTTTCTTTAAGTAGATTCTATTCTGTTTGCCAATAAAAATTTTTCAGTTCAGATTTTTTATTACAGTGTCAGATTTTTGCTTATAATATTTTGTTGTCATTAAAAATCAAAATGTGTTTCTTTTTATGCTATATCTTGTGATTGACTCTTAGAAAATTTTTTAATAATTAAAGAAATACATTCCTTCATTATTCAGATAATTCCTCAACTACATCCTTCTTAAATACATTACTTTAAACCTTTTACGTCTTCCTGTGTACAAAGACATGTTGAATCTTCATAAGTCTTCATGTCTTATTTGTTATTTCAAGCATCTATTCATGTTAACATTTAACTGAGCCCCATAAAAGCTCACTTACTGGCTAAACTTTAATTGATCCGATAGATAAAATAGTCATTATCTGAGTATATTATATTTTATGATACTTGATGATATGTTAAAACCATTTTCAGGATGAAAGTTCAATAGAAAGTGATGAATTTGATATGAGTGATTCAACACGGATGTCAGCTGTGAATTCTGACCTCAGCTCCAATCTTGAGGAAAGGATGCAAAGTCCCCAGGCTCTTCATGGCCAACAAGATGGTAAGCCTTTCAAACTGAGCAAACAAAACAATAACATAATCCTGGATCAGACTTGATTAAAACAACTGCTGCTTATTCTGGTGGTAATTTTTTATCTGTTTCTATGGAGACTTTTTTTCTGTATACTCAGGTTATGTTATCCATGTCATTATTATTAGATTCAACTACTTGGATTAAAACTGTAAATGCTAGTTATAAAATTCAAGCTTGCCCATATTTTGCATTCTGAGCTTACAATGAGTTACATTAGTGGACTTTGGGTTTCTGTGATATTTTCTAGCTTTGGTTTCTTGGACCGTTATTCTCCTGACTGAATAAAGAGTTTAATAATGGTCAGAGATTAATTAGGATGTTTTGATTTTACTAAAAGACAAAGGAATAGCCAAAAAACAATTGCTAGAAAAGAACAATTTGTTTGAATAGTATAACAGCTCTTGCAATAGCAAAGATGTTTATTTGGGAAATTTCTAAGAATGTAGTTCTTCTGGTGTGGATATAAATTGCTTTTTTTCTTCTAAAATATTAGTAGATTTTCAGATTTTGTTTTTTAGTGAAAAATGTGTAGCACTGGGATAATGGAATAACCATATATATGTGTGTAGTTGGGTGGGTGTGTATCACTCTATTAACATAATTCACATGTTTTGCCTGACCATCATCTTCTTTACTCCTTAATTTTGGAGATCATAATAATAAGAGGATATCTCTCATGAGGAAAATCTTTTGTTTTCTTGATTGAAGTCTATTATGGATCTTTGGCTAGGAGACAGTTGATGTGACATAAATATATGTCGATTTTAATAAAATGTGGAGAAATAATGTCAACTATCACTTCATCTTAGGAGAAGGCGTTGATGCCTTTTTCATTGTATGCTGACGTATGCGTCAAGGATAGGGACATATGTAGTAGTTTCTTCTCCAGCCTCAGCCCAAGCCTTCCCTTACATGTTCAATGCTTTCTCCTTACACTTCTCTTGCAATTTCCTCTTCTTGCAATTACCTTTCCTTCCTCCTGCATCACAGGTTTTCCCCAGAATCAACATACACACGTGATGTAGTAAAGACTCTCCTTAGGAGACCTGCATTGATCCCACTGTGTCCCTGCATTCATTGCCCTTTTCTCTGCCCCACCCCCACAATACTCTTCTTTACTGCAAAACTGAGAACCTGTCTCATCTCCTCTTCCTCACTCTATTCTTGCCGGCTCATCTCAGGCAGGCTTTCATCCTCACCGCCCCATTCTACTTGCTCTTGTGAGTGCTACCGGCAGTCTTCATGAGGCCTGATTCTTTGGTGCGACCTTAGTCCTCATCTTTCTCATTACTAATACCAAAGGATCGCACACCATTTGCCTCCTGGTGGGCCTGTCTCTGGGTTCCTTTTTCATTGTCTAGTCAATAGACGGTGGAGTATGCTGGGGTGCAGCCCTCCTCTTCTCCCCTTCTGTGCTCACTGCCTAGATGATCACATCAAATCACTTGGCTTTCAATATGATCTGTACCCTGGTGAGTCTCACATTTGCCTCTCCAAGCCCTGATATCTTTCTTGAGCTCGGGACTCTCGCCTCCTCTCTATTACGTAAATTTTAACATTCTTCACAGGATTTATCCGGGTATGAAATGATATTATTTTTCTTATCAGCTGTTTTTCTTCTATACTATGAATATCATATTAATTAGGGGATCTTTTGTGCTTTTGAGTTCCTTTCAGTTTCTCCATTCGACATACTTCTTAAATAGTCTATTATGTAAATAATTTTGCTCCATTATGTAAATCTAACTTTTCACCATAATCCTGATGTGTCACATACATTTTGCATATTTTTGTGATTTTCTTTTCTTTCTCCCTGACAGTGGCACTCTTATAGGTAACCCATACTGACAAACTATCATTCCTCAATTTCTCTGTACACACACACACACGCGCGCACACACACACACACAGATGTACATACTCAGAAGATTTTTGTCATTTTATAAAAATAGGTTAAATCATTTACAGTCGTCTGTTTCTTGCTTTTTTCATCCATATTACCTTTTTCAAGAGCTTCTTGAATACTGAGATGTATATACAGTATGTGTGAGTGCATGCTCAGTCATGTCAGATCTGTGACCCCCATGGACTGTAGGCTACCAGACTCTTCTGTCCATGAGATTTCCCTGGCAAGAATACAGGAGTCGGTTGCCATTTCCTCCTCCAGGGGATCTTCCCGACTCAGGGATCAAACCCACATCTCCTGTGTCCCCTGCACTGACAGGTGGATTCTTTACCACTGTGCTACCTGGGAAGCCTGTATATACAGTCTAATGTTCAGTAAAAAAAAGATATGGTCCCTATGCCTTTAATTAGCATACAATCTAAAGGAATAAAAGTATACATATACCATTTGCTTTTGGTTACAGGTCATTGAGCCAATGTGGGAAAAGTCCTGCCTCTGTAAAAATAAGAATTCGTGCTACTAAAACTTTGAGCTTGTGTCTCCTTGAAATCAGTGGGCGTGTAGATTGCTAGGACTACCTTGGGTCTGGAGGTCTATGGCTTTCCTGTGGATAATATGCTTTGATCTGTAGCAGTCAGTGGGTAAGGACTTATGATGGAACATATCCAATTATGGAAGCAACCCGAACACAGCTTCAATATAGAGTAGTCTAGTCCAGGGATTTTGAAGCATCCTTGGCCTCCACCTACTACGTGCCAGTGTTGCTTCCCTCCAACCATTACAACCAAAAATGTTTATAGACCCTGAAAATGTCCTATGCATGCCAAAGTTAAGGACTACATCTCTGATGTAGGCAGAGAAGGACCATCTCAGTAATGATCCAATAAGATGAATATCAAGAGGGCAGTGGAGAGAAGTTCAGAAATGGAAATTGGAGAGAGGGCTAGGAAATATGAAAGTATGAAACTCCTGTTAAATATTCATAAAATATGAACAATATAAAAATTTTAAAGCTAAAATGTTCTATTTTCTTTAGTACTAAGTAATTAATTTAAGGTATTATTGTAAAGAAATTGAAATAGCATATTGTCAGTTTTCAGGACTCTTTCCCATAATTATAACACAGTTAAGTGTAACAGTATGTTATCGGACATAGTGAGAAAAAACTTCTTTGGTTCTCATCTCACATGGTAATGGAAGATTTTTAAATCTCTTCAATATCAAGGGAAAGAAAGAATATGAAATGCAAATCAGTTTGTAGATATAACTATATAATGCACATAGGAAAAAGAGAGGAAAAGAAGGGAAATATCTTGCCATCAGACTAGATAATTAGGTAAAAGTGAAGAAAATACAAACCAGAATGATGAATTTGATAAGAAAAAAGTGTGTCCAAATTGATGTGTAATATTCAATTTCTTTTACTTATTTTAAGTTTATAATGCCCTAACTCAATGAAAATATAAAATTGCACAGAAACTTTGAATCTTTGTATAGGAAACATTTCACCCTCATTAAAAAAATTGAGGTATAATTTACATAACACATCATATTAGTTTTGATGTACAATATAACAATTTTATGTGTGTAATATATTACAAAATTATCTCTACAATAACTCTAGTTAACATCCATCACCTCATATAGTTACAATTTTTTTTTTTCTTGTGACAACTTTTAAGATCTACCCTTTGAACAACTTCCAAATTACAGTGCAGTATTATAAACTATAGGGCCCCATGCTGTACATTAAGTCCCTAGAATTTACTTATTTTAAATTGGAAGTTTGTTCCTTTTGACTACCTTCACCCATTTTTTCATTAAAATATATTAAACTGTGTAAAATGTTTTTGCTATCTTCAATAATGCCTTTAGGATAAAGTTGTTTAACATATTACATAATCATTTGAGTTACTCAGGACACTGCGAGGTCCTTTCAGCTCTGGTGAAGTATCAGGGGCGTACTGTGCAACCGGTTCTTCTCTGTTGTGGTTGTGGCCCATGGAATTCCAAACTGCTCTCCTGGATCAAAAAGCTTAGAGGCGCTCTGTACTCGAATGTTCATCAGTTTATAAGTATCCTTGTTTTTCCATCTATTCCAATGGATTATAAATAGAAATGTCACTTAAGGCTTATGTTGTCCAATCCTAGATTCTAGAAATTTGTGGGAGCATGGACTAGCTCAAAATAGTATTCTTTTTTTAAATTATTTATTGGAATTAGTACCTAACAACAGCTGATTCATTTTTTGTTGTTGTCTTAGGTAATTTATTATTAATAAAGAATATCTGGCAAAAGTGTTGGGTTTAGAAATAGACATAAAGATTCAGTTCACAATATTCAACTTCTTCTGATACAGAAATACTTTTCTAAGAAGCATCTGAATTACTATTCTGAGTTAATAACATATTGTATACTATTGATAGTTTTATAAGGGAAAATTTGTGCTTTATGAAACTCAAAAATATTTTTAGATTATTGCTAGCAAAGGATTTCTGTATTTTTAAGTCACAACAAATTGTATTTTCCCTTTTTCCATTTTAAAAGACAATAGGAATATAGGACTATAAAGAGAAGTTGAGACACACCTTTCAAATCTTTGCACATTAGCTTATTTGCCTTTAAAAGTAAGGGATTACAATAGAAAAATTGTATACATTTCTCTTTTGCCCTCATTTTGTTTTATTTTGGTTGTGACATCACAGAATATATTGCTCTAAAAGGTGTTGAACGTGCCTTATCTCTCAACTCAATGGAATTGTGTAGAGATACTTTTAACATAATTTTTGCAATATTTTGGTACTTCATTAATGTATCAAACAATGATTTGTTTATTCATTAAAAATTAACAATGGCCATGTGCCAAGCAAAGTAGTGTAATGTCTAGAAACAATGAAAGAGGGAGAGAAACTTGTGAGGTAAGAATTCCCCTAAAGCGCACTGACATTTACTTAAGCTTTTACCTGTAATTCCTGGAGAGGCAAATGGCTACCCACTCCAGCGTTCTTGCGTGGAGAATTCCATGGACAGTGGAGCCAGACGGGTTACAGTCCATGGAATCACAAAGAGTTGGACACGACTGTGCAAGTTTCACATCACTTACCTATGATAGAGTTCT